GCTGAGCCATCCTGCCACCTGTTGGCAGCTCAGCGGCAGCTCAGCTCGGGCCAGACTCGAACCGCTGTTGCTCAGAGCTCAAACCCTTGAGCGAGCTCTTAACCAACTGAGCCACTCTGCCAGCCCTGTTAAGGCTTTTTTGATGCACTATTATAACAGAAAATTAAATTATCAGATTAAAATTAGGCACTCCTCCTATCAGTCTGTACAATTCATAGGTTTTTATAGCCAGACAACTGCGTTTTTCTTTGTCACTTAGTGAATTAGTGGATTTTTAGCATTTTTTTCAAAATAGAGTTTTTTGGTTTGTTTACCTTTTTCTTCAATATAAGAAAGGTTTCTGGAAAATTTCGTGAGTAGTTGGCTATATTTTGCAATCATCTTGATTAGCAAGTTAATATTCATAACATTGCAAAGAAGCATAAGTTGTTTTATTTTTCCTTTTGACCCCTGCCCACCTCTCCTCCCTGCCCTATCCCCATACCCCAGCCTCCACTCCACTGTGGTCCTCACACCAAAAAGCTTAAGTTTTTAAGTGTTTACACAACTCATGACTCACTAAAAAGAACTTTCATGCTGGACAATGATGAATAAAATAAAAGTTTTTTCTTAAGATATGGAAAGCAATAAAAATGACCTACACATAAATTTACCATCTTCCCTTTTGTGTGTTTTGCCCATAAAATTATCTTTTCACAATGCTATGTTTGTCCATGACTGAGGGGATAAACTGGAACCCCTAAGTACTCTTTTATTTAATTGGCACATTATCATGTACCAGTCAGTCTCCAATGTGCATTTGCCTCAGTTTAATTGGATTTAAGGACTTCCCTTTTCTTGACCTTCAGTAAGATTGATCCAGGGTAACAGAGAAGGAGCATGGTGGTAGACAAGGACAGTCAAAGCGGGAAGAGAGAATGAATGGACACAGGTATGATTCCGAGGATAAGCATGGAAACTATTACTTAAGACATTTGGGCAATTTAGCTTTGATTTCTCTTCAGAGTCCACAAGAAAATTAACTTTATTACTTTAAAACTTGTGTTGTAACAAAAGGAGAATTATTTACTATTTAATTACCTAATTTGATTCTGAATGACTTGGCTATTTCCTAAAAGCAAATCTACTCTCTATTCATAAACAATAATGGCTTACCGTTAATTGCAAATATTCTGGAGAATATACTACAGACTGTGTAGAGAATTCCTGAAACATTCCAAAGAATTATAAATAATGACAGCATGACTGGAAAATAAGCATATCCTTATTCAAATGGACTAGACTAGTCTGAAAAAGGCTATCATGCAAGTGGATGTCTCAGTACTGGTGATTGCTAAAATGCAAGTCAGTCACATTTCTCATATATATACATATATATCTCATCAATACATAATTGTGTTTTCTCCAGGAATAAAAGCTGTGGCTTCATCTTGTTCATACCTGCATGAAGCTTCTTTGAAAAGATGCTGCAACCTCACTGATGAAGGAGTCCTTGCTCTCGCACGCAATTGCCGGCTGCTAAAGATCATTGATTTAGGTGGCTGCTTAGGTATTACTGATGTGTCCTTACACGCATTAGGAGAAAACTGCTCATTTTTGCAGTCTGTTGATTTTTCAGCTACTCAGGTAAATTAAATACAGATTTGAAATTTAGAGACTGTATGTGTTTGCCCACTGTATTTCCAACGACTCGTTAGAAGAACATAATTAGTTTTATTGTTGTAAAATTGTTGACTACTTCATGCTTTGGTAGTTAAATAATTGCAATATTATTTGGCACATCCTGCTCAATTATTTTAAGTAAGGGCAGAAGGTATATGTAAATAAAACACATATTTGCTGAATGGGGGGCAATAAAACTATATCTAAATGATTAATAATTTTTAGAAAATGTTACTTCCGTCATCTCCATTTATGTGCTGTGTTGCTTTTTCTTTTTGCTTAGGTATCTGACAATGGTGTGGTTGCACTTGTTAGTGGACCTTGTGCCAAGAAATTAGAGGTAATTTTAAAATATCTATAAAGATGTCGTTAACTGAATTTTTATGTTATCCTCAGAATTTATTTTATTTACTTTTTTATTTTTTTATTGGGGAATTGGGGGAGGGGCAGAATTTATTTTTTAAACCTAGCAGATAACCAATGCCTTATTATCAATTAGGTATTTTCATGGACTTTAAAAAATTTTTGTCTTTACCTCTTTATTTCCAGAGTAAAGAAAAACTGGTAAAGTAGGAAATAAAGTATGTTTTAAAATAAAAACTCACCTTACTTCCAATGAAAGTTCTTATTTTCCAGAAGTTTTAGCTTCTAATACATTTAAGGATAGTCTCACTTTGGATCAAGATTGTGAAAATTTATCAATGTAAAGTGATACTCTTTAGAATTTTTCATGTCTGATAGGACTAGTTATTCTCTTGCCATTGTATTTTTCTGGATCCATGAAGTGATCCAGAAAAAGGATAGATACCACTGTGACATAAAAGCTATTTTGAGCTGAAGATGTTTGAGAATCAACCCATGCAAAAGGAGGCTTTATCTAACCCCCACCCCACCTGACCCCCAGCCATCTGCCTAAAAGCAAATTCTTCCAAAAGGATTCACTGGCCATCAAACCCCCTTCAAGGAAGATTTCCCATACCAGTGAAGATCACTCCTATCACTGGAGAAGTCAGATGAGAAATTGCATAAACAAACATTGTCACAAGACTATATCATACCTCCCATCTACTTTCCTAAAGTCATTTGTTTTTCTATAAAGTGTCCTTTCTCCCCTCCCTTTCCCCTATTAAGATATAAGATATAAACTCTAAATTCTAGCCATTTTTTGGAGCCACTTTCTCTGTGAACACACACGAGTAAACGTTATCTTTTTTCTTGCTGGTCTATCTTTTGCCAGTTTGATTTGCAGATAGAACCTAAGAGAATATAATAAAAGAAATTTTCTCCCCAATAGCCACGTTGTACAGCCACCTAAAAAGATCTTAAATTAATGTTCAGCCTTTGGATTCAGTGACTGATGTGGCACCTATAACTTATTTTTAAATATATTAAGAAGCCTTTTGTCCTAGGATTTGGAGTTCTTTCTTGCCCAGTTTACAGTGGGGTTTTTTGCTTTGTTTTGTTTTGTTTTTTCAACTCTTATTTGATATAGCTGTGCTGGTCAACAATAAGCCACATCAAATCCTTTTTGGAAGTACGGAGAGTATAAATGAATTAAAAATGTTAGTAATAACTGTGGACGGAAAAGGGGCCACAGGTTAAACCTGACAAGCTCAGGAGCCTGAAAATAACCACATAGGATGGTGTGAACATAAAAATTCCTAACTAAGGTGGGCCATGGCAAGAATTCACATCTAGTCTGTGGCTTCCTTGACAAAGGTCAATCTTTACTCTAAGTGAGGCTGTCTATTATATTTTTGCATCTAGTATAACATGCCCTTAGAATGTCAGTAATCCCTTCCCCCCCCCCCCCCCAGGAAACTACAGAATCCCTTATTAGAATTCTTGTCCCTTGATTACTGTCTCTATGTGCTGTGAAAAGTGAACCATTAACTATCCTGTACCCACCNTTTTTTTTTTTTAGCTGAGCCATCCTGCCACCTGTTGGCAGCTCAGCTCGGGCCGGGACTCGAACCACTGTTGCTCAAAGCTCACACTCTTGAGCGAACTCTTAACCAACTGAGCCAGTGGCCGGCCCAGTACATTACTTTTATATTCAGAAAAGTAAAGCCATTTCTATTTTGGAAAAAAGTAAAAGAAAAGAAAATCACCCCCAGAAAGACAGCTCAGAATGCTTTGAAATTGATCTGGTATTTGTTGCCCTCAAGTAAACATTCAATAATACTGTTTGTATTATTATAACAAAATAAGAAAAAAGGAGGTAGATGTTCTAGATAAGCAATGCTAGTACACTGCATTTGTTGTATAAGTGATTAAAGACTCATTCCTGCTAAGCAAAGAGACACATAGCTAGATTCCTTAATAATAAGCAGGAACTACTGGAAGAAGATAAGCACCCCTGCCACCTTGGTTCTGCTTCTCAGGTCTCAGTCTGTACCAACCATTTGTTCTCAACAGTGCTGGGTGTTCCAGTGAAGACTTCGGGGACACTAAAAGCTGCTCCTCCAGGTGGAAGTAGGCTTGGCTTTTTCCTCTTTAGGTATCGCTCTCCACACAGACATGTTTCTGTATTCTTTGCTGCATTTTCCATCCACCATTTTTCTACTATGACCACCAAAACACTGAATGTGGAATAAACATTTATATTTATAGGAAAATTTAATTTTTCAAAATCATGTACTTATTACAGATTTTACATCCTGAAGTCCAAACTCTGGATCTGCGGAGCTGTGATATTTCAGATGCTGCTCTCCTGCACCTGTGTAACTGCAGAAAACTGAAGAAATTAAATTTAAATTCCTCTCGAGAAAACAGAATTTCCATAACTACAAAAGGTATGTTTAACTGAATGAATTGGTAGATTACTATTCACCATCTGATATAATTTTGGAGCAAAAAAGGGGGAAATATGTCAAAAAAGTATGACAATGTCAAAGAAATAGAAACTGTATCAGTAAAGAAAATAAGATAAAGAATCCAAATTAGAATTCTTCTTATAAACAGGGTTGGAAGTTAAGAAATGCACTGGGTAAGTCAGTACTTTGTATTTTATTTTATTTTATTTTATTTATTTTATTTTTTAAAAATATTTTTATTGGGGAATTGGCAGAGGGAACAGTGTCGGGGAATCAGGGCAGGGGAACAGACAAGTTGCTGTCCTTTTGTTCTTCAGTCTAGTTGTGGAGGACGTCACTTCACTGGCCCATGTTGGTATTCTCACTGCACTCTTCCCCGGGTGAGGCAGTCACTCGCCGGCCATTGGACGGTTGCTCACGGTGGCTCACAGCAGCTCACGAAAGCTCACGTCTGCTGCCAGGCAGCCCCAGTGCAGCCTACGCCATCACTGCGACTCAAGACAGCCCAGCTCCAGGTTGAACTGTTGTTCACCATCTTAGTTGTAGAGTGCGCAGTGTTTCTGGCCCTCATGTGGGATCCGAATGGAAGCCCTGCTGCTCAGAGCTGGCATCCCAAGTCAACTCCTAACCAACGCGCCACTCGGCCGGCCCAGTACCTTGTATTTTAAACATATTTAAAGTAAACATGAATGGATACCTCTATATTTTTAATGTTTGCCTGGTATAATGGAACAGAAATAACCAGTTCATACTTTGTTAAGGCTTTTTTTTTTTTTTTTTTTTTTTTTTTTTTTAGCTGAGCCATCCTGC